AATCACGTCACAATCAAAGAATATAGATGAGGCTATTTTTAACTCTTCAAATACAGGAAGTACATTGAGGCTTATAAGGGTGGTCCGAGCAAATAGTATAACTGGCAATAATTGAAAACCGTATATATGGTTTATGTTAAAAAGTGATCACATCTCTTTAATAAAAAGCCAAGTTCCAGATATTTGAACCCAATAGTTCTCAACTGGGGTTTATTTCTATCCCTACGCCACGGCGGGGACATTCAACAGTGTCTGGAGACATTTTCCATTGTTGCGGTTGGTAGAGGGTGTGCTAGTGGTAGGTAGCAGGCAGAAGTCAGGGATGCTGCTGAAGAACAGCAGACTGCCACTCCAATAATGCCTCTTTGGGATATTGATTATTTTAAGCTGTTTATTTTTAAGGTCCAAGAGGTTCAAGAAGAATCTTTGACCTTCCCCCTAACAGCCTAAATAAATTTAAGATAGGTCTATTCAAGGAAGGACTTATCACCATAGATAGCTGTAGAATACTATGAACTAGGTTCATAGAATACTATATAGCTATAGATAGATATAGGTAAATATAGATATAGACATATAGAGAGATAGATATAGTTGTAGACAGATATAGATATAGATTAGATATAGATATACGGTCTGGTAGAAGAAACACCTGCTTGAGTGTGGTTGGTAGGGTAATAATATGGGTGTAATTATTTATAGTTGTAATTTGAACATTTCACCTAAAATGTCATATGGTGAGCTTGAGCATGATATTGTTATGTTACAGAATTACATGCTTATGCTTTTGTAATAAAAAGGGGCACTATTTGTGCAGACCCTGTATATATATAAAAACCACAGGCTCAAAATGGCATCATTTATGCTAAAAGCTTATGATACCAAAACTAGATTTACTATCTGACCTAACTGCAGTTTCTACTTCTAGAAATGTAGTTTTAATCAACCAGTCTGCAGTTTTCTGGTGAAGCACAACTAGGGCAGTCTGTCTTAGTGGGCCTTCCCTCTCCCCCATAGACAGAGGCAATGTGCATAATTAAAAAAAAAAAAAAACATGCCACTGCACCCACCCCCAGGATGTCCTGGTCCAAAAATAATCCTTTCTCTTATTAATAGCTCCCTTGTCTCACCCTTCTTACTATAAAAACCTTCCATTTTGTACATCCCCTCCAAGCACCCTGGTAGTTGCTAGACGGGATGCTGCCTGATTCATTTATCACTTATAAAGCCAATTAGATCTTCAAATTTATTCAGCTGAATTTTGTTCTTTAACTATAATACTGTTAAACATCCTACAACGCACAGGACAACTCCCACACAACACAGGATTACCCAGTCTAAAATGCCAACAGTGCCTTTGTGGAAAACCCCTGGCCTAAGTGAATAAATATACTAAGATATCACAACATCCTTAGCCAACATGAACTGAAATTTGTCATGAACAATATAATCTTCACCTCATGTCCAAGTACCATAGAAAACATATTAAAGATGTTTTCACCTATAAATCTATGCTTTTTGTATAAAGAATATAACCTTGATTCTCATGTCCATATACTGTAGAAAACATATTTAAAGATATTTTCACCTATAAGTCATTGCTTTTAATTTATGGGCTTTCCTAGAAAGCATTATAATAAAGCTACTTAGTACAGTCATCTGGTAGGGCAGTATACTTCATGGAAGGCAGTGAAGAGTAAGAAGTTGCCCTGACTGGTGTGGCTCAGTGGATTGAGCACCAGCTTGCGAACCAAAGGGTTGCTGGTTCAATTTCCAGTCTAGGGCACGTGCCTGCGTTGCAGGCCAGGTCCCCAGCAGGGGGAGCCCAAGAAGCAGCCACACACTGATGTTTCTCTCCCTCTTTCACCCTCCCTTCCCCTCTCTAAAAGTAAATAAATAATATATCTTTTTAAAATTATGTTTTAAAAAGTAAGAAGTCATGTGAATGTGCAGAGGATTGTGTGTGTAACATGCATGGGTTCAAGAAGGTAAAAAATGGCTTGACCAATGTAGGGGAGCAGGATATACCACCCCAAAACATGCCAATTTGATGTAGAGATTATTTTAGGTTGATTACTTTTAAGAAACAACACACTTAGGAAAAGTACTGACAAGGGGCGGGGGAGGGTGGGATGGGAAAAATAGACAAAAAACTGTACTTGAAAAATAACTAAATAAAATTTTAAAAAAAGAAATAAAAGAAATAAAAGGAAAATGCTGTTTTAAAAATTAAAAAAAAGTACTGAAAACTGCTAAGTTACCCTTTGTCAGAGACATTTACACTTATCAGGGAAACCTCCATTTATAAGGGGTTTCCCTCTGGGTACCAAAGGAGAGGATGAGTAAATTTCTTAGATACTCTCATCAATGGAGAAATAAACTACCTACGTCTACATATTAGTCTTACCCTTGTTTACTGTGTTTTTCCCATAACTAGCTGGCTCTCAACCTCAACATCTTCTTTTGTCTTTAGCTGGAAATGCTTTTTAAGTTGTTGGCTTAGGCCATTTGGGGGAGTTATTTATTTTTCCTGGGTCTCTCCACTGCATACAGGAGGTAGTTGTTAAACTTGTTTGTTTTCCACCGTTAACATGTCTTTTATTACAGAGAAGTCTCAGCCATATCGTTCTAGGAGCATACAGAACCAAATTTACCTGAATCATTTGTGCTAACAATATTGTAAAGAAGGAAGTCTGTGAAAACCAAGATTACTGACACCCAAAAATACCATATGGAGTCAAGATGTGTTATATGGTCAAGAGGCTGGTACATGCTATTGATGAGGACATGACAAGGCTAATCCAAACCACGGTCATTGAAAGACTTTCTTGAAAAAAAAAAGGGAGCAAAGAAAAGTAGAGAACAATTAAGTGAATGATAATGCAAAGACTGGAAGTGTGTCTAAAAATCCCAAAGAAACAATTCCTTCCTAATAAGCAAGGGGAGTCCCAAATGAAAATGCAATCATAAGGCTACAGTCTCCCAATTTTGATTTCCTCACTGGAGGAAATGTCTTAGTAATTCAGTTACTACTTAGAGCAAGAATCTATCAGGAGAAAAGCTTCAGGGAAACTTTCATTTCCCCCAAGAAAGAACTAAAATCAAGGAAAGCTGATGCTTAAGGAGGACTGCAACCAACTGTTCTCTTTTAACGCAGAAAAGGTAAAACAGGGCGGGTTCTCTCTCAATCAGTTTCAACTGTTAGAATGTACTTAGGGGGAGGGGATTCTATTCAAATGTAATTTCCGTAATATTACTTACTGCATTACTTACAGGCCTTTCTACACTAGTTTATCCTTTTAAGAAAAAGGTCTTTTCCTTATTTAGATGTAAACTGAATTAATACCCTGAGTTCACTCCAACCCCCCAAAAGGGTAACATGGCTTCAATTCCTCAGGTGATAGTAGTAAAAGAGAAATGAAAGTTATGTCTATCTTTTTTCTTCTTCTTGATGGGTAATTAGAGGAAATTTACTAATCAGCAAAACAGAGGGTGTTTTAATGCCAAGCATACCTATAACAATCCCCTCTAACGCTGTAGAACTTTCATTTTCACAAAGCAACAATTCACTGGAGTCCTCTTATACCAACCGTATCTACATAAAGCTAGAATTTTCAATTGAAGCTGTTTTTTTGACCCTTGTTTCTACCCTACTTCGCTACTGTGACTGCAAAAAGTCAAATTGGGTGGTAAATGTAAGGCACAAATTCACAGACAGAAATTCAGCCCAAAAGTGCTTCAAAAGAAACATTTGGAAAGGGTTTGAATGTAGTGCCTGGCTGAGTAGAGATGAATAATACACACGCACGTCTCCCAGCAATAACACAGAAACCTTTTACACGAGACATCTGTCTCCACGCTTAATAGATCAGTTGATTGTCATCTTCACTACACGTATGTTGTATCGACTATTGTTGAGAGCCATTTCTTCCATAAACTAAAGCTGCATTTTAATCCTCCTGTCATCTCCTTAAATATTAGTATGCTTAAGACACTGTGTGATAAAATGTAATACCATATTTAAAGAACAGCGGGATGTTTTTACTGCTTTGTACATAACTCAATTGCAAACATGGAATTAATAAAAAGAAAATACAATCAATTAGTTAAATGTTACCTGACTCACTACCGAACTAGATTTACTATAGGCCAAAGTAATTATCAAGTCCCAGCTTTGCCAGCTTTCTGGGCCAATCTATACTAAAAAGAAAGGGCACTGGCATTACATTTTCTAAATTTACATATTTAAATTGGAGTCATAACCCTTGGGTTTGGGTAAGACTCTGAAGTCATGGAACTATGACAAGGTTTAAGTGACGAAACTAGTTTGAAAATTTTCATTTTGGAAAAGTTTGAGATGCAATTAAGAGTAAGCTAGATCTCAAAGCAGGAAGTTACCGCAAGAGTATTGACTGAGACATTACTGCGCTAACAGACTTGGAAACGATCTTGAAAATTCCACAGAGAGCTCTGGCCAGGTAGCACAATCAGTTAGAGCATAATCCAGATAGCCAAGATTTCAGGTTAGATTCCCAGTCAGGGCACATACAAGAATCAACCAATGATTGCAAAAGTGGAACAACAAAAATCAATGCCCTCTCCCCCACCCACTTCCTCTCTCTAAAATTAATAAATAAAAAATTTTAAATTCCACGGACATATCTTGCTCTCTACTCAACACATTTTTGCCTTCCTCCTCTTCATATTTTTATGTAAGGAAAAAGCAGACCCATCTGATGTAGAATTTGTCCACATTTCTTAGGGGAGTTAAGAGCAGGAAGGAAACCATACAATAAGAGGAACATGGAAAATTAATAGAGTCTGTAGATTACAAATACCTTGAAGTCAGGGGCTAAATGTATTTCTGTTTTTGACACCTTTGTACTGTAGGCAAGACACAGGCATAATTGACCATTAGTTGAGAAATCCCGCCCCCAATGAGGACCTTTGTGAGAGCATATTCTTTGTAACCATATGCAGCTCTCTTATTGTAGGCATACCTCAGAGGTCTTGTGGGTTCGGTTCCAGACCACAGGATAAAGCGAGTCTAATCTTTCTGCTGGTGGAAGGTCTTGTCTTCAATTTGTAAAATACACAACACCTGTGAGGCACAATAAAGAAAAGTGCAATAAAACAAGGTACACCTATACTCAAAACATTTAGCAAATGTTGCCATTTGACTGCTTGAAAAAGCCAATCTCAATGTTCAGCTTTCTACCAACTGCACTGCTGCTAACTCTGCATGAAACAAGTATTTATGGAATTGCTTGGGGTCAGACACTGGCCTATCCTCACAAGGCATATACAAATCCAGTCATTCTCAACTCCGGTTGCATGTTTGAATCACCTAGAGACTTAAAAAATACTGATGCCTGGGACCCACTCCAGACCAATTCAAGCAGAATCTGTGAAAATAAACACTGGGTGACATTATCATTTTTTTTTTACTTCTCCCTAGTGCTCCTAACATGCAGGCAGAGTTGAGAGCTGTTGGTGTAGCTAGTCTAAATTTTTACTAAACCACTTAGAAAATGGTTCCATAGTCATACATGTAGGACATAGGCTGTCTGCCTTATATTAGAAGCTCTGGGACAAATTTCTGCTTCTGTTTAACTAGCTTGTTGTAGCAATCACCCCAATATGCAATACAGCTTGAAAATATAAGTGTCAGCACCAGGTCACAGTCCAACTACTCAGCACAAGACTGAATACAGATAAGACATTTATACATTACATATGCTTTTGCATCCCTCGACCGATACCATGTTTTTGTTGCTATTACAGATTTTGGAGCATTTTGCACCATGCACATGTAATAAAACTTGATGATGATTGGTTTCTCTGGGAGCAATTTCCAAGAATGGCTGACCTCCCAACAAGTCTATTTGGTGTGAACAAACTAACATGCCGTGATTTCCAAATAACTTTGCATTATGAATTCAACGCGGATGGCCATGTTTGGAATGCATTTCTAAAGTGAAAGGAGTCCAAAACTGAGGTATAAAAATACTATCACACGTTATTCAGAGTTTAATTATGCTACAATTCACAGAACAAAACCCAAATATGCCTAAATACTGTATCTACCCCGGGAAACCTTCACTTGAACATGTAAGTGAACAATAATCTTATAAATCAGGGGGAGAATGTCATGATTTGAACGAACTCACTAGCTGCTAAAAGGTAAAAGAATATTCAATATGCTTCATCATTCCTAAAACCCATCTTTTAAACCGAATGTATACCTCACACCAATGTGAAGAAATTGAGCTTTCTGAAACACACATCCCAAACCAAAAATACAGACATCAAATTTATCAGGTAGAAGGAGTATTTTTTGGATGTGTTCTTGCCTATGTCCTGACATAGATAATAAATATATTTTTTAAATCATGAAACACACCAAACTGAATCAATTATGGTTCTGTCCAGTCAGGATAGTCCTTCTGGGAGTATCAAGGTGCATTTTGGAACACGGATGGTCATAGCTGTGTATGTGGAATCAACCAGAAAAATTTAGGGTTGTACCTGAGCATAGCCCTTTAGGGCATTAATGTCCATACTTCTCAAAGCAATTTTTTGGAAAGTTAGACTAGCCAGCAGCCCTTAGCACTAGATGCACATTTTAATCACTCCTGGGAGCTTGTAAAGTACCAATTTTGGGTTCTAGTCCCAGAGACTCTGATTTAATAGGTTCCCAAGAGAGAATAAGGGCCCAAATGGCATTAACAAGCAAAATCACCCACACTGATGCTCAGGCTGGCATCAAGGAACCAGTGTATATTTGTGGACATAAGTACTAATAGAGGTTTGAAGTGCCAGGCCCAACTGCAGCATATAGGCTTGAATGCAGTTCCCACAGTTAGAAAATGAGAATTAAATGACTTCTAAGTTCCATTTCATTTGTAAAATATCAAATATGATTATGACTCCAGGACTCCAGTATAGCTGAACAATCTCATATTATGTTAACAACAGGAAGACAAAATGATTGTTGAATGGGAAAATAGCAGTATCTGATCACAAATAAATGTGCTCATTTAAATAAGGAGGCTTAGAGTCAGCTTCCTGATATCCAAGCTGTGTAGGAGAACAAAGGCAGAAACAGTTCATGGACACATGAAGAGGTGAGATTGTGAGACAAAAAAAAGGTCACAACCAACCAGGAGGAAACCGAGATCAGTCAAAAAAAGAAGTTGGGTACAATGACCCACAAATGATCGGGGAGACCTGCACAAAGCTATGGACATATGGTTGCTACTCATAAGAAGGAAGCTGTAGACTCTCTTGGTTTTCAGCCCCTTAAAGTCACATATTAGCCCCCTTAATATTCTCACACTGAATTTAGCTTGGGCCTGGATTTATAAGACTCACATACCTATATCCTAAATAAGCCTTCTTATGCCCATGATTATTTCTTAAAAATTTCTTACTCCTTGCCATTCTTTACCAAACTCAACTCCCAGTCCTGGGATAAATGGGCTCGGCAGATATTGTGGTCTTCTGAGATTTGATTAACTATTGTATTACGAATATCATCTATTGAGGTAATTAATACACCAGCCCAAATGAATGTGAAGAGATGCATTTTTCATGAAGTATTTTAGTTACACAATTAATTATACCCAGGTATATTTGTTTATTATACTGAATTTTTCTTGAATTAGTAACTGAGAAATTCTGAGAATTCAAAAATATCATATGTAAGTCAATGTAAAATAAATAAGGTTACCAAGTGAATTTAAGTAAGAACTTATTTTTAAATCAACGAACAACAAGTGCTGGCGAGGTTGTGTGGAAAAGGGAACCCTAGTGCACTGTTGGTGGGAATGCAGACTCGTGCAGTCACTGTGGAAAACAGTATGGCGTTTCCTCAGAACACTAAAAATGGAACCGCCTTTTGACCTGGCAATTCCACTGCTGGGATTATACCCCAAGAACCCTGAAACACCAATCCAAAAGAACCTATGCACCCCAATGTTCATAGCAGCACAATTTACAGCTGTGCAAAGTGCTGGAAACACCCTAAGGGCCCATCAGTAAATGAGTGGATCAAAAAACTGTGGTACATTTACATGATGGAATACTACACAGCAGAAAGAAGGAGCTCCTACCCTTTTCGACAGCATGGATGAAACTGGAAAGCATTATCTGAGTGAAATAGCCAGGTGGTGAAAAACAAATACCATACGATCTCACCTGTAAGTGGGACCTAATCAACAAAACAAACAAGCAAGCAAAATAGAACCAGAGACTTGGAAATAAAGGACAAACTGATAGCGACTAGAGGGGGTGGGGGAGGGGGATAACAGGGGAAAGAAGGGGAAGAGACAAGCAAAGGAGCACAAATACAGGACTCGTGGGCATGCACAATGTGGGGTGATTGACTGTGGGAGTAGGGGGCAGGGCATGAGAGAGCAACGGGGAAAACGGTGGGACAACTGTAACTGTACAACAATAAAAAGATAAAATGAAAGAATTTATTTTTTATTGATTTGTGATCAAAATCCATTTCTGGCCTATAAGAGCCAGTTCCCTCTACATTCTTAATAACATGATCCCAGATTTGTTCAGGTATCATTGCTCTTCCACTTGTCCGTATGCTTAAGGAAAGACTACAAAATTACCCTAAAATGCTAGTTCATACCCATGAGGATAAATATAACTTAAAAAGACAGACAATTACAAATATTGTAGAGAATGTGGAGAAATCGTACCACATTGTTCAAACATTGTGGAAAAGAGTTTGACAATTCCTCAAAAAGCTCAGCAATGGGTTTTCATATGACCCAGCAATTCCACTATCAGGGATACACCTAAGACACATGAAAACATATGAGTAGGTTTCCACAAATACTTGCACACAAATGTTCATGGCAACATTTTCACAATAGCCAAAAGGTAGAAATAACGCAATTGTCCATCAACTGATTAATCAATAAATAAAATGTGGTATTACCATGAAATGAAATATTTATAAAGCCATAGCAAGGAATGGTGTGCAAATACATGCCACGACATGGATGAACTTTGAAAACATTATGCTAAGTGAAGGAAACCAGTCATAAAAGGCAATACAATGTAGGATTCCATTCATATGAAATGTCCAGAATAAACAAATCCAGAGACAGAAAGTAGATTAGTGATTGCTAGGGGCTGGGGAGAAGGGAGAATAGAGAGTGACTATTTAAAGGGTATGGGATTTCCTTTAGGGGTGATGAAGGTATTTAAAATTAACTTCAGTAACGGTTGTACAATTCTGTGAGGAGATCAAAAGCCATTGAATTGTACACACTAAATGTGTGGATTTTATGGTATGCGACTTACATCTCCAAAAAGGTGCTAAAAAATGTCTATCCCAGCCCTAGCCCTAGTCGCAGCTGAAACTGCAGGCCTGGATCCCGACCCAGACTTAATCACATAGTGTCAATATTGGTCGATGTAACTGGATTATGTTAATGAAATTCTCTTTGACTAAAGAAGACTCATGTGACCCAATTTTGACCAATCTGGCATTTGGTCAAAGGGAAAAAGGTTCTGACCAACCTTTCTGAGGGAAAGGTTTCTTGGGGTAAAAGAGTGAGAAAGATTTCTTAGCACATAGAGTTCCAAGAGACAAGTCATTCTCTTTTGTGTCCCTTTCTGCAGTGTTGGATGAGAATGCTGCCTGGAACTGTTGCAGCCATATTTATATTATGAGGAACAAACTCCCCTACACACTGTGGATGAAAGAACAGGAAATAAAATGATGTCTTTAAGCACAGAAGGGACCAACCCTACCTTCAGAGTTCTTGTTATGTGAGATAATGAATCTCTTTATTGTTGAAGTCTCTCTGGATTGTTTTTCATATTATAGTCAAGAACACCCAAAATAAAGTTTATTAATTTATACTCCATCTTAAACCAAAATGACTTGAGGTGACTAAATAACCCTTTAAAGATAAGAGTTACCAAAGCCATCAACCCTATCTGACTACCCACCTCTGTACCCTATTATCAGAGAAAGAATTATTTCAATCAATAATAGACTTTTAACTATTTAAACCATTAATGGACTTTTAGAAAATTAACATACATGCCCTGGCTGGTGTGGCTCAGTGG